GTACAACAGAGGCTGGAAAGCCAGAGGCAGATTTCTCAGACTCTTGCAGCTGGGTTTCACATCTGACATGGTTCTCCCATCTAGGCACACCTGAAGGAAACCTGGGAGGTGGACATGGGCAGTATAAAGCTTCTAGAAGATGTTGGATCTTCTTGTAATCACTGTAGTGGAGCTGACTGACATTTGGGAATGTGGAGGTGGAATTTCAGTATTTGGTTCTGAGCATCTATGACAGAAGGCAGTAGCTGTGGGGTTCCCATAAGAGAGTCCCCTGTTCTGGCTGAGCATTTCTCCCTGCTATGTTATTCCTGATAGTATAGAACACAAACTAACTTCCATGGCTGCCCTAGAAATTCTTAACCTGCCAAATACCTTGCAATAATTCCCATTCTGTTTAAATTACTAATTGGAGTGGATTCCATTATCTTCAACTCATAGAGCAGCCTCATAGGGTTTTGCAGGAAAGTCAATATATGTAAATTAAGTACAGTGCTTAGCACCTGGTGAGCCACATTATTATTCCTATCAGTGTATCAGCTGCCACAATAAAGTAGAAGTAAGCATCTTACAATATCTTAATGATTTTCTAATTTTATTTTTGAAGCATATTTTGTTTCTAAGATTTTTTGTTCTAAGTATCATAGAATAGAGGTCTTAGCTTCGTGCACAGCTAGGACTGACATAGAGGAACGTTAACTATCAAAGTAAGAAATATGTACTCTTTAAAATGAGGAAATCCAGGATAAAAGAAAATACACTTATTATCGTTTTTTACTTAAGTTCTGGAATTGTCTTCAACTTCAGTTAATAGCATTTATAATGTACCAGACACTGTTAGCAGCTATGTCTTTACAGAATTTTAGATAACGGACGAGAACGTCATTGATCTTTCGTTCTTTCCCAGGCTCTACTCATCTTGTCAGCATCTTCTGATCTTGCTGGAGAAAGTCCATATATTTTAGAATCCATAAGTAATATAAAGGGCTTTTGCCAAACTGGAATTCTTAGTTTTTACATAGGGTGACCTTATTGTTTACAAACACCTGAGAGTAAGAGTGGATTTAATTGTGTTGTAATCTTTATTGGAAGGTATGTAACAAGATGCTGTAACCAAAGCTTTTAAGCTTCTGAATAATACTTCAATTTTTTTATTTTCAATTATTTTCATAAGTCATTGATTAAACAATGGACTTATTTTTAAATCTATTTATTTACTTATTTATTTTTGGCTGTGTTGGGTCCTCGTCTCTGTGCGAGGGCTTTCTCTAGTTGCGGCGAGCGGGGGCCACTCTTCATCGCGGTGTGCAGGCCTCTCACTATCGCGGCCTCTCTTGTTGCGGAGCACAGGCTCCAGACATGTAGGCTCAGTAGTTGTGGCTCACGGGCCTAGTTGCTCCGCAGCATGTGGGACCTTCCCAGACCAGGGCTCGAACCCGTGTCCCCTGCATTGGCAGGCAGACTCTCAACCACTGTGCCACCAGGGAAGCCCTGGACTTATTTTTAAAAAGCTTCAATTTGTTATTCATTTGCCTTTCCAGATTCTTCCCAAACTACTTACTGGATGTTGGACATTTAAAACATCTGTAGAGCAAGTTAAAGTTAAATGCCACTTGTCACAGCTTTCATTATGGTTGCTTTATTTTAATGATCTTTATGGTTTGTTTACCTGAAATTCTGATTTTGCTTTTAGTTTAGAAGGTATCAATAATGGCTCTGTTAATTTTATAAAGGCATAGGCAAATATAAATATTCATTTCTGATAAAAACAAAATCTCTTTTGTGACAAAACATGCAGAATAGCTTTTTGGCATTGTACAGTTAAGCAAATAAAAAGACAACTTTTCTATTACATGTGAATATATTATGCATAAGTTAAAAGACTTGGAAACTAAAAACACAGAAGTATACGGATTTTTTTCAAGGTTGGCCTAATTATTTCTCAAAAATAGGAAAGGCTCTAATTAATAAAAAATTAAAACTACAATGAAGATAATTTATAGGACAATGTCATTGCCTTTTTTTGTGCTGTGAAAATGTTTTATGTGACAACATGAAATTTAATCATTTTAAGATTGTAGTAAAGGGAAACGTATTAAATGGTCTGTGGATCTTTACATAGTCGCCCCTTCTGAGACTCAAAAGATTGACAAATTACTGAGGTCAGTAATTTTGTGGCTGCCCTTAATATTTTTTAAACAAAAATTTTGAAGAGTTAAAATACACAAGAAAGAGTGGATGTAACAGTTTTATGAAGGTGGTCAGAATGTGGTTTCTCCTACTATGAACAATAATTGTTTTTTTAAAGAAATGCTATGATGATTTTTAAAATTAATTCATTTATTATTTACTTTTGGCTGCGTTGGGTTTTTGCTGCTGCGCGCGGGCTTTCTCTAGTTGCAGCGAGTGGGGGCTACTCTTGGTTCCGGTGTGTGGGCTTCGCATTGCGGGGGCTTCTCTTGTTGCAGAGCATGGGCTCTAGGTGTGTGGGCTTCAGGCTCTAGGTGCGCAGGCTTCAGTAGTTGTGGCACGTGGGCTCAGTAGTTGTGGCTTGCGGGCCCTAGAGCACAGGCTCAGTAACTGTGGCGCACGGGCTTAGTTGTTCTGTGGCATGTGGGATCTTCCTGGACCTGGGATCGAACCCATGTCCCCTGCATTGGAAGGCGGATTCTTAACCACTGCGCCCTGAACAATAATTTTTAATAAGCTAGCTCCCTTTTATTATATTCTCTTTAAAATTAATTGTGGCTCTGTAATTGTTAAACTAGTACCAGCTAAGCCTGTAAAATCATCTTAGTCTGAAGTCATAATGAGGAACATTTTAATTTCAAATTGTCCTATAAAGCAGTATCAAAAGTTAACAGAGATAGGAAAATAATTATTATAAAAAGGTATAAAATTCTTTTAAAATAGGATAAAGAATTTTATATTTATGATTTGGGTTAAAGACTGTTACAGAAACTTACTGTACATGTTCTCTTTTGCTCTTGTTATTAGTGTCAATGTTTGGGGAAGAAGGGTGAAAATGAATGTACATTTAGTTAAATAATGCCTATTAGTGGTAAATTAATAATTACATTAATGTAATTATCCCTTTATGGCTATTGAAAAAGTTTGGTGATAAAATTTATTAATTAATTTGAATTTTAAAATGTATTTGGACCTAGACCTGTAACTTTAAATACAATTTTATAAAGTATGTGGTAATTAATAAAGTTTTAATTGATAATTAGCATTATAGCTCAATGATGTCCTTCATCAGGATTTTTTGCCCATGAAAGAGAGGGTCTGCATGGATTTTTTTTCAACTCTAGACTTAGTTTATTGCAGATATACAGTCTTGCTGATTTTCACAATTTCTCTATGATATATGGAGATGATTGCTTCTATTCTTATTGGTAGAGAGTAGAGACCTAGAATATAAGATTTGTTTATAACCATTTAAAAAATAAACTTAAATTTTAGAATAGTTTCAGATTTATAGATAAGTAAAGTTAGGGTATTCAGAGTTTCTGAATATCCTTAGTTTTTACCCAAGTGTCTATTATTGGGTTCCTGGGCCCTAGGCTTTGGTGACTCTCCGGTAAGCCACATGCTTTCAATTATCAGCTACCTTCTATGACCCTCTCCAGGTTGACCGGGGAACCTTGCAGACTTTATCCACGACCCTTGGCAACTGAGGGAGACTGGGGTGGGCTCTCTCAGGCCTTCTTCTATAAGCCTAGATCTGCTCTGCAACCATTTCTGCTTTACTTTACTTTTATTCTTTTTTTTTTTTTTTTTTTTTTTAGATTCCACACATAAGTGATCTCATAATGATACTTGGCTTTGTCTGGCTTACTTCACTTAGTATGATTCTAGGTCCATCCATGTTACTGCAAATAGCATTATTGCGCAGGCTCAGCGGCCATGGCTCACGGGCCCAGCCGCTCGGCGGCATGTGGGATCTTCCCGGACCGGGGCACGAACCCATGTCCCCTGCATCGGCAGGGGGACAGATGCCTCTTCCCAGAATTCTTGACAGGAGGCAGAACTACAAGTGCTCTCTGTCTGAGGATTCTCAAATTCGAAATCTATCACGTCCCCTGGGGCTTCAACCCCCACGAGGGGTCACGGAGCCAAGCCCCATCTTTTTTCATAAAATCTCATTCTCCTCTTCCAGTCCCTTCCCACAGGAGAAAGAAGGCATGGAAGGAAAATTGAGTCACATTATTACTCATTCCTCTCACACTATGGTTTATATGCTTGCTATCCTCTAGGCTTTGCTAATGATACACAGTGCCAAGATTTGAGAATTTAAAAAGAGCTCTTTTCTCTCTCAAGAATCTAACTCTTTCAAAATAATGGGCTTGGGCTTTCAGACTGTTGCTTCTCCTATGTATTTTCTAAAAAATCCATTCAGAAATACAGTCTCCTGTGTTCTGGGCTGTATCTGCTTTCTGTTCTAAGGCAGTGAAAGGCACTGATTAAAGTGGTGAAGGACTTGAGGCAACAAGAAAAATGTGGCAAAGAAAAATCTCTATTGATATCTCAGAATAATACCCCTCTACCATCATATTATGATGCAATATGGACCCAGTACTTCAAATGAATTTCAGTGTGGAGGTGGATGGTTTGGGAAGACAAAATGATTTCAGTGCAAATGGTAATTAAGGCTAATAAAGTGTTTCTGTATTTAAAGGCACATAGATATTTTTCTCACATTTCATATAGTAAGCTGAACATATATTTTGGGCTTGGATAAACGTTCCAGACTACATGCATACAAGAGCTGAAGAAGAATATCATAGTTATTCCATATATATTCCAGATTTCACTGCCAAGATTACAGTTGGGGATAGCAGTCCAGAAGGACTTCAGTCAAAGTCTCTTGAGATTAAAAAAAGAAAAAACATGAATTAAAGCTATTGAAGAAAGAAAATCCACTAGAAAAGCAAATTATTAACTCTGTGCTCGGAATCAAAAGATGAATAACCACACTTTGTCTTTTGTTTTGTCCTCAGCTGGAAAGGCAGCTAATGATGCAGAATGAAATGAGAGAAAGACAAATGGCTATGCAGATTGCTTGGTCTCGGGAATTCCTCAAATACTTTGGAACTTTTTTTGGCATTGCAGCCGTCTCTTTAACAGCTGGGTATATTTGCTACTTAATTTAAAATTTTCTTCTACTTTTTTTTGTCTCTGCCATGATCATATTATTACGTTGGCCAAGATAGGACTTTGATCCAAATAGTACACGTATAGGCAAACAAAGTAACCCTGATAGCTTAGTCCTTGGCGGTAACTCTGTAGAACCAGGACAGTAATAGTTAATTCTTCCTTTAGTTTCTTAGATTTCTTCTGTACTTTTCTCCATTTTATAAGTAAGAGAGAGGACTGACTTTGCACCAAGACAGAAGGAAGTCTCTACAAATTCATCTCCACAGTCCCTAAGGGATAGATATCAATACTTAAATATTTTTAAAATGAGTAATCTTAGCCTCAACATCAAATAAAGATGAACAAATCATAGACCCTACCCAAGAACTGCAGAATCTGCTGAGGGATTATGGGTAAGCAAATCCTATTTCCATAGAAGAATTAAGTAACTTCTGAAATGGAGGATATTCTTCCCAAAAGCAGATAACTTATTTCCTTTCATCAAGTACAGAGATATTTATTTACAGGTTATTCCTTAATATTCATTCTTTTTTGTTCTTGAATCAGAGCAATTAAAAAGAAGAAGCCTGCCTTCCTCTTCCCTATCGTTCCATTAGGCTTTGTCCTTACCTACCAGTATGACATGGGCTACGGGACCCTTATACAAAGAATGAAAGGTAAGTCTTTGATAAGTCTTAGACCAGAGTATCAATTTCTGATTCATTTTCTGGTTCCAGGATCCACTCCTCACACCCCCTTGACTTACGAAAATTCTGACAAGACTCTCCCTGAGCTACCAATGACCAGTATTTCTGCCCCCTCTCACATAGTGGTATGCTGGAGTCACCTCATACCAGCTCACAAGAACCAACTGTCAAATGTTCAGGAATTTTGTCAGCTGGTTGTTAAACACAGTCATTATTAAAAATTAAATTTTATAAACTAATACAACATTGTAAATCAGCTATACTCCAATAAAATTTTTTTTAAATTATATAAACTTACAATTAAATAAATTACAGAAAATACATAATATTAAATTATATTAAAAACAATAATAAATAATCAGAACTTAGTTTCTAATTATTTTACAAATATCTGTACTCTTAAGTTATGTATATCTATTCTTTTAAGTTATGTATAGCTACTGTATCTGTATGGTGGCAATGCAGATACAATATATAGACACAATAAAATACAGATACAACTCTGACTTCAGTGACATCCCATTGGTATGTCAGCTTGAAGGTGGTCATGGTGGGAGTATTTACACCATGGAAATCTACAAATAGCAAATCAAGGCTTGACTTACTATTTTGTTGATTGTCTAGATCAGGGGTTGACAAACCATGGTCTGCAGGCTGGCCACCTATTTTTGAAAATAAAGTTTTATTGGAACACAGACATACCCATTCATTTCTGCTTTTCCATTTCCATGACAGAGCCGAGTCACTGCAACAGATATGCAAGTCCCCACAAGCCTAAAATATTTACTATCTGGCCCTTTAAGAAAGTCTGCCAACCCGTGGTCTAGACTTAAGAAAATGATGAAGAAAATGTTAATGATGTATATTAGTCTTAAAAGTGTGTTGTGTCCATATCCATTATGTTGTGAATAGCATAAAAAAATTCAGGAAATGTCCTAATATTTAAAAACTTTTATCTGATTCAACAAAGTCCACAATATCACTATTTCACTTTTGTCCTACTCATTAACGTAAATGAAAACACTGACCATCATTCATGTTGAAATTATACTTTCTCATCAACTGCTTAGGCAAGCTATGGATAAAAGAGTTCAGCAAAAATCAATAAAAACATTCTTTGAGGATCAATTTGCTATATAGAATTTATGATAAAGCGTACTGTACATGTTATTATCATTTATAAATTGTACACTACATATATTTCATAAAAGTAAAATTTATAATAAACTTAAGTACATAATAAACTTACGTACATTTGTTTTTGTTCTGGAAAGCTGGTTGTTAAATTTTCACCAGTACTGTACTGCTCTCACTGAACTCTGGCTTTTATTGCCCTAGAAAATAGCACTGCTGCCACAGATGCCATTCCTGTCCCAAGAAGACAGAGTTTCCCATTAGTCTAGGATATCCACGTCTTCCAAACTCCCACCACTACACACCTCTCATGAGGATCCCTATTTCCCTACTCCTCAAGCCTTCAACCCAGAGCATGCTGGAAACAGTGCTTTCCCAAGCCTTCATTTTTGCCATCCTGTTCTCTCCTGGGCTATAGGCCCATCACTATCTGAGGCTCTGTGTGGACTGGTTTAGTATGGGAAAGGAGAAGGTGCAGGTATTGGGAGTAGGCAGTAGAACATTTCATTCACAGACTTAGGGAAATGGAGGGATTATATGTTCTTAAAAATTCCCATTTGAAAATAGAAGTACATTTTCCACATAGAAACTATGTTAAAATGTCCTTTGGGGTCAGACATTATTGGTATCATAGTTCAGCTATATTGTGGGCTAAACAGTGTTTTGTTGGTGGCCTAGAAATTTATTTATAGCATATATTACTGTGGGAAAATGTATTCTGAGTTCTAAAACACTGATCTACAAATTAACTTTTGGAGTACAATTCCATTTTAAGCTGGAAACTAACTGTACAAAACTGATTTACTTATGTTAAAACTCATTTCAATAACCTGCTCAGGTTCATGTTACTCATTTGCTTAAGAATTCATTAGTCTGAGCTCAGCTATGTCTCACTGTTTATAAGAACATTAGAGTTCTCAGTCCCTCATAAAAGTTAGTATGTAGTATTAAGAAATCTCAACTCTATTATACAGCATTCACTTGAATGTATTACTAATGGAGAGCAAATTTATTTTCTAGGAATATTTTGATTGTATAATTGGGAAGTAATTTTATTATAGGTCCATCAGAGTCTATAGAATATAAAAATTTAACTTCCAAGGCATGTTGTGGAAATTTCCTGTTTAAAAAAAAAAAAACCTTAGAATCCACCAGGAAATTTACCATATTAAAAAATTTAGTTTATAATATATAGCCCTGTTAACTAGAGATGACCCCAATATATATACTTCCTGTTTAATTGACTTTATTATCAGCCATTCTGTAAACACATACTAAGAATCTGCCATATGGAAGGCACTCTCCCATGGAAACATCTAGTCTGTCATCAGTAGCCTGCCCAATTACATACAATTTTATAATGATTTTTACTTGGTATTTAAGATTGAGAAAAAAAATGTTTGCAGATTGTTGGAATGCTGTGATAATTTGCAAATTGTAGCCTGCCCTGTTGGGTTTGGAGTATAAATTAATTGTGTGTTAAAAGAGGAATACTTCAAGAAAACAACTGCCTTTATTCCCAAGGAAAGTTTATGGAATGTCAACAACATATATTATAGTTTTTCAAAATTTCACTAGTCTTCAACAATAAAAGTTGGCAAATGTCACTGTGCCCAAGAAATTACTAGCTATTATTTAAGAGGAATTGTTTATAAAAATGTGTATATGTGTGTGTATGTATGTATATATGGACTAAAGAACATTTAATATTATTTGGGGTGTTTATAAGTAGTTTCAAGTCTAAGATTAGCTTTCCTGAAAAATTAGAGTTTTTTAGTAAACTTTATTTTCTTCTCACATCATTTATGATATAATAAGGGGCAACAAGAAGAACCATATGGGTTTTCACCACCCTAAACTCCTCCTAACACAACTAATAGTTATCATCCTGACTTTCCTTCAAGGAAAAAAAATATTACTTGGTATTCTTTCTCTTCTACATTTTAAAATGCTGTCTTCTGTCAAAGTCTCTGGCATCTGATTTATCTCTTTATGAATCTTCAGAATTCATTATTGTGTTTCCTTTGAGAGGTCACCTCACTGGGGACAGTGGGTGAAATATTTAACTGTGAGATGTGGGGGCATGCCTCCACACAGTGTTACAGCATGTCAGTGGAACACAACAAGTAGGTCTTCTCACAAAATGCTGATGGCCCCTTTGTCACCTTGCACATTTCTGTACTTTATTTAAGGTGAAGCCGAGAACATACTGGAAACAGAAAAGAGTAAGTTGCAGCTGCCAAAAGGAATGATCACTTTTGAAAACCTTGAAAAAGCAAGAAGGGAACAGAGTAAATTCTTCATAGACAAATGAAATCATGTTTACCCACCAAATCTCAAAATACAGAATTGTTGACTTGAATCATGGCCTTTACAATTTTTTAAATGCTTGAGATTTTGATATAATGGTTTTCATTTTAAAATAATAAAATTTAAGATGAACTTTGTTAAATTATTTTAAAATAAAATGTATAACATTCAACACAAAATCATGGAGGTACTCTTTCAGATTTCCTCTATATGTGTGTGTATCACAAACATCTAAATGTAAAATTAATAAACTATATTTTTTGAACTTCTGGAAGCAAAAGTTCTGTTGTTCTCATTTCTCTGTTGCACACACTTGCCCCATCACATTAATCTCCCACAGATACTGCTTTTATTTGGATTTCTCAATTGTGTCCTGTCTCCACATGATAGAAAACAACTAATATTAATGATTAATATGTATATTGCACTTGCTATGGTCATTGTCTGATTGTTTTGCACATATTCTTGTAATTATCCCAACAATCCCATGAGGCAGGCATCATTTTTTTTTAATAAATTTATTTATTTTTGGCTGCGTTGGGTCTTCATTGCTGTGCACGGACTTTCTCTAGTTGCGGTGAGCGGGGGCTACTCTTCGTTGCGGTGCATGGGCTTCTCATCGCAGTGGTTTCTCTTGTTGCGGAGCACAGGCTCTAGGCGCGCGGGCTTCAGTAGTTGTGGCATGAGGGCTCAGTAGGTTTGGCTTGCTGGCTCTAGAATGCAGGCTCAGTAGTTGTGGTGCACGGGCTTAGTTGCTCTGCAGCAATGTGGGACCTTCCCGGACCCATGACCCCTGCATTGGCAGATTCTTAACCACTGTACCACCAGGGAAGCCCCCATCATTTTTATAGATGTGGAAACTGTGGCATAAAGAGATTGAATTGCTTGCCTAAGGTCATACACAGACAGAACTGGGACATAACCCTAAATGGTTTGGCTCCAGAGTCTATACTCTAAAAGGTCTTGAAAAAGTTATGCCTTAATGCATTCTTGACATGCAAAGACAATTGTGAAAGACAAAAGGTAAAAACATTCAAATAATGACTCAGGGCACAGTTTCTAGAGAGGTGGGAAGGAGGGGAAGTTTGATTAGGTTGTCCACCTTTTTATTTCCACTCACCAGGAAACCTATACTCATAAAATAATCCTATTTATATCCTTTCCTACAGTTGCAAACCCTACATACACTAATTCCAAAGATATTTACTAATACCTGCTATGTGTCAGCCACTGTTGTAGGCACTGGGGCTACATGAGTGAATGCATAGACAAGGTTGCTATATCCTAGGCAGATAAATATGTTCTAGTGAGGAGTGGGAGAGCTGGGGAGAGAACAAATAAACATGAAGATAAGTTCATTTCTGATGGAGACAAATGCAAACAGGATAATAAAAGAATGATTAGAAGAATATTGGGGGAGGCTACTTTAGATGTTGGACAGTAGGGACTGCCTCTCTGCAGAGGTGACATTTGAGCTAAGACTTGAATGAGGCAGTCCTGTGAAGAGCACATATGGGGACAGGGAAGAGATCTCTAGGCAAAGGGAAGAGCCAGAGGAAAAGCTCCGAGACTTGGCATGGCCAGAGAATAGAAAAAAGGCCAGAGAGAATGGTGGAAGATGAAATCTGAAGGGGGGAAACAATTATGAATATAATGGCTACTACCCTCAAGCATAGCAAGATACGGTTTTGAAACAAAGGTGGATGGACCTAGAGTCTGTCATACAGAGTGAAGTAAGTCAGAAAGACAAATACCGTATG